ACCCATCCATCCATCCATCCAGTAGACCTTTCAGCCACCTAAAAGTCTAACGATATTTTCGTCCCGAGGATAAGATTTAGACGGCTGTGGAAGAGCCATAAATCCTTTCCTATAGCAGCAGAATGTGACTGACACACAACCAGGTGGCAGAGGGAGAGCTATATTCAAGATTACAACCAGATAAGCATTAGGAATGTATGCCTGAGCATGAATCAGTGCGTGCATGGATGGTGGGGTGGAATCTTCAAGACGTGATTACCACCAATCTGACTTCCAAGAGTCGCCTCTGACGTCTGTCCATAGCAGCCTCATTGCAATTGCTGTCTTTCCACTTCGATACCCCGACGGAGGATCAGTTAGCATTAAAATAAAAACCTTCTGCACATGTTTGGTGTTAAAAGGCGACAAATCACAACAAAAACATTGAAGTCAGGAGCCACAGAATGTTAAAACTTAGAAGGATTTTAGAAGATGGTAAACTGGCCTTACTGAGGTTTTCCAGTAATAATCCTCTCAGACATGCTTCTACAGCTGACCTGTGTCTGAAGGGCCAAACGATGGCAAATTTGAAGCTGTTCATTGTTAATCCAAATCTCAAATTCAATCCCAAGATTTCAAGAAGCACTCTTGTGACCCTAAACCCCTGACTTACAGCTGGGGTTAATAGTGGTCCTAACACACTCCATTGAAACGCCAGAAGCTTTTATTTCTGGCCTGGGAGAATGCTTGCTTTCCTCCATCACTGTGCCACTGCAGGTGGCTGAGGAAATCAAACTGGTGGGTTTGTCAGTTCTTTTCTAAGAGAGACAAAATCCAGACTCAACCTTTTTTCTCTCTCTCTCTCCTGCTTGCGTCCCATTTTCCTGGCTGTCAGGCAGTTGTCACATGAAAACAATGAAAGGGACAAGGTGGAAAACACATAAGCCTACCTATGCAAATTCTTCTCTCAGCCATGACTGCGAGCTCAGAGCCTGCACTCTTTCTACGCTTTCAAGCATCACATTCAAAACTCCTATTTTGTCAAAGCTTTAACATGCATTCTTGTTTTTCTGGCAACACATAGACAGAGCTGAATATTTGTCCAGAATACATCTGGCAGTAAGCTGCAGCAATTTTAGAGCTGCTTCTTATTTTACACAGTTTTGTAAAAACAGCAAAAACAACCTAAATATTGAGAATTAAACACCACATGAAAAAGCTAAGTCCAAATCAAAGTGGGTACGCATTTGTTTTTCAACACACCATGATTAAATTACTGCTTTTGAATATGAAAATAACGCAGCACATATTGAACAATGATCTCAGTTCAGAACTGTGTTTCTGTGAACAAAATGTGTCGTGGCTGAAGCTGTGACCAAACAATTTCCTTTAAAAATAGAAAAAGCTTTTCATGTTATAACTAATGAATGGAATACATAAATCACTGAGAGCAAAATAAAACACTTTCAATAAAAAATATATTTTTAACATTATTATTTAGTGGGAATATTAAGTGTTTTTGTATAGATTTGTATGTTAAAATATAATTTTTAAAAATCATAGCAGTTTTAGAGAAATTACTGCAACTCTTTTTATTGCCTTACGAGTAAAGCCTAATGCAAAATGTTAGCACTTTCTAATGGTTTGTATTAGAAATTAGAATCAATTTATACCATTTAGCTGTTATGCTACGACATTTAGTGGAATACATGTAGAAAAATACACATTTTGCACCGTTTTAATGTGCAATTTAAATTTGACCCTAAAAGCTGACTATTGACGAGTCTACTCAGAACTTGGTTTTAGGAAGGACTGAAGGAATTTAAAGAGTGCTGACTGCTCTGTGTGTGGGGGGATTAAACAGCTTCTGTCAGTTAACCTTAAGCCTGCAGCAGTATTTGCGAAGTCTGGGGTCTTTGAATAAATGAAGGGTGTGGGGAGCTACAGATGTGGGTTTTTTCCCCCTCCACTTGATAGATCTCCAAGTATTAGGCTGTGTGATCAGAAAATTAGAACATGAGAAATGTGTAGCGTAATGGCAAAAGCAGATAAATTTATTCTGGGGGAAAAAATGAATGATTTTCTCATAAATTTATAGCTAATTGTTCAAAACCATAGCAGAAATGTTAAAGGGAAAGTTTTTCTTTTTCATCTTACTGGAAGCCTCAGAGCGAGCCTTGTAATAAATGCAGCAGCAGCAGGGAGAGTAACGTAAATGGCTCTTATGTGGCTAACAATTAGTGTATTCCCAAGCCTGCCAGGGTGCCCAGTGAGAGCTACTCTGTAGGGTAGAGTATCAGCGATCGATACACACACAGCAGAGAGAAAACCATTAATTCTTATTAATAATGGATTAGCAAGTTATCATTTTCATGAGGCAACACTTAGTGGAAATTTGTCTGATGGCATCAGCATGGCTTGTTTTAATGGAACACTTCCATTAAGGCCTTTTCAGGCCATTAGCAGGCAACTTGTTTGCAATTAATTCCATATAAAGCTGCCTTCCCTGCAAGTTATTTACCCCGATAAAGTCAACTGCACTTCAGGCTGTTTGTTTAAACCAATAAACATCACGTTTGCTATCTACTCTTCTGTTTTATGGCTGATTCTGAAGGAACATTGGGTTATTTGTTGTTGGACGTTACACAACTGCTTACAGCACAAGACTAAATATGAAATGCTTTTAAGATAATTTCTCTCTTTAGCCCCTGTATTTTAGAAGAAAAAAATACATGTCTCCAATTCAACAATGTAGGGTGAGAGCGATGTTTCTTTTATATTATAAACTAAAATGCAGGAGTTCAGCAACTCCTACAGTGTTCATTAATGCAGCAAGCAGAGATCTTTCAAATCAGATTGATTTATAACTCACTACTAAATGTCGACTGTTCTGAATTATGCTTTTTTGTAGTCCCACAGTCCAACGTAACATTTTGCATGACAGCACAACTTAAATATATTCACATTGCTTTTATGCAGGCCAAGGCAACCATCAAATCCTCAAATTTGAGAAGCTTGAGCCAGAATGTACAGCATAACCCTGCTTGTAAAACAGTTGTTGATTAAGTATTTAATTTTTTATTGTATCTTGTGTAAGACTGATCTCCTTTATGGTGAACTATAAACACACACACACAGTGGTGAGAGATACTTTCTTTGAT